GAATAATCACTTAGAAGCCTAGGTCACAATATGTGGTTTCATGTATATTAGCAGTATGATGAAAATATCACCAGAAACCTTTCAAGACATTTGTACATCCAGTTACAGGTTATGCTCCAAAAACCTGTTTCTAAACACATACTGCATCACTGGAATGAGCATGACAATTTTGCTGCTTCCAGTGATACAAACCCATTAAGGTTTAAAATCCGATTAACAATTCAGTTTTGGTAGACATGTACAACCCCCCCCCCCATCAGTTCCCAACATTAACACACAGAAATAGGGCCATCAGGACATTGCTTCTGTGTTCAATGCAGGGAAACCACATCATTAAAGATGTGCTGTGCCATTCACCAATAATGATACAGCATTTTTCCATTGAAACTTGAAACGTTTTTGTGTGCAGTGTAAACAGCAGAGCTAAGATGTCTCCCAGTGGTCGGTGGTGACTTATCATTATAATGCTTGAGAATTTATGGGATCCACTTCAGCCAAGAAGGCAAGGCTCTTCCCATTCTGCTCGTGGGAAAGAAAAGAGCATCAAAATTATTAGCCGGAGAACAGTAACTATGGATTGCAAAGCAGTTCCCTCTCTTCTGAAGCAATCTAATTTTATTCTGTGAGAACCACGAGAAGCAGCAGCAGTATTAGAATGGTTCTGCTTTCCTGGCCTAGTTCCCCCTCCTCTATTAGTGAGCCTCCAGAATGCATTTGTTTATTTGCATTCCTAAACTGCTTAACATTTGGAGGGGAGGATGCAAAAATGCAACATAGAAACCACAGAAGACGTCATAAAAACAGATAAGAGGATCCACTCTTTTCAGTCAGGGAAAGCCTGGTCAAAAAGATATGCTTTTACAAGGCAATTGAAGCTACTGATGGTTGCTGCTTCATGTGTGGAAAAGAGGATAACAGAGGGAAAATGCCTGGTTTTTGCTTGACTTTAATTATGTAACCTGAATCTGCGGCTGTGGGGTGAATCCCACCCAAAGACAGTGACAGCCTGGATGTGCTGAGAGACAGAGAGAAAAGCTCCAACTTTTTCTGATGGTTTTCAGAAATCTTGAAGGAACCGTGCCCCCGTTCAAAAGGTTTTTGCTCTTTGTGTGTGAAATGATGCCCCAGTGTGTGTCTTTTTCATTTCTTTGATTGACTGTTTAGCATCTGAGTCTTGCTTAGAGAGTTTTTAATGAAACAACTAATGAAACACTAATAAATATAAATAAATGAAATGGGCAGGGGATCGAATTAGAACAGAAATTCAAAATTTTGCAGACAAACTCAAGGTTGGGAATTTGTCAGGACAGCTCTAGCCCAGGATGAAAGCCGCAGTCAGTTAATTTGGCTGGGAGAGAAAAATAAACATTAAGGCTGCGTGCTATGTTAATATAATCACCATTAGGGAGTTTGCCAAATAAGTGCATCATATTTTCAACTAAGTGTTAGGCAATGAACTTTGCTATTCAGAACAAGAATTTTATAGCAGCAGGAGGCAGGAAAGCCAGACACAGGAATGTTGTTATCCTGGAGGGTTTGGCTTCTAAGAAACTGGTGTTAAGCCAAAGAAGATTCAACATTATCCTCGCTGTTGCATAATATTTAATTTCAATTGACACCCAATTTTCAGTTTTATTCACACCCTAAATTAATTTCTAACTTACGACTAGGTAATGACTTTTGTCTTCGCTCTCGGTCACGAGAGTTCAGTGAAACCTGGATAGAAAACTGAAGCACAGCACTTGTCTTGATGCAGAAATGAACCCACAAATGAGGGGTGCATGGTTATTTCTTGGGGGGGGAGCCTGCAGCTCTGCATGCACATTCAGCAGCAGCTTGTGTTTGCATTCCCTCCTCCCAGTGCTCCCCCCCCCCATGAAAAATAGGTGGCAAAACTCAACATGAAGTTGCTACAGTAAGTCAACTGGGAGAGTTGGGGCAGCCCTGAACAGATGCCGTTTTGACAACAGCCACATTAACCACCTGCAGAGGTGCTGAAAACTACAGCAAACTGTCTCTCTAGCTGGTTTCAGGGTAGGGGCCTGGCTTGAAAGCTTAAAGCCAACCAACGCTACATAGGGAGATGGATTGAAGAAAAGGAAATACAAACTGGCCCCTCCCCATAGCTTGACCAAACGCTGCTAGAAGTGGCTAGGAGCTAGGTGGAGTCATAAATCTTTTTTAAAAGTATAGACTCACACACGCTGGCCAACTTCCATTTTGACTTGAAATGTACGTTTGGGGCTTCTCAGAAATACGTAAAGGCAAGAAGTGGGTGGGCAGAGCACTGGCCCGCAATGGCGCCCACTTGATAAGTGCTGAAACTGCACTCCAACATGCTCCAGCTGGGGGGGGGAGCAATGCCTCTTCCTGTTGGACTGGGACATATAGCTGGGATGCATAAACCCAGGGATTTTTTTCAGGGGGGGATGCAGGGGTACACATACCCCTAAACATTTTGTGAATCTAATGGGAGAAGAAACAAAAAAAAAATTAAAATTCTTCTCTAGCACGGTGAATCGTCAGTTCCGTTGCTACCCCTGATGACGGCCTCTTTTCCTTTCACGATGTTTCCTGAGCCTCAGACAGAAGCGAGCGTTTAATGTGTGAAGCAGTGTGGAATGTGGATGTGTGGTGTTTCGCAGAGGAATCGGAAAGATGTTAGTGTACACAAGCTCATGCCAATGTGGAAGTTACTGTGAGCTGCCAGCTGTGTAATGCATGTTCTTTGTACTTTTGTCCATTTACTGTACTTATTTTCCCCAATTTGAACTATAAAACGGTGGTTTTCTTGCGTCCAAATGAGAGTACCCCTAAACATTTTTTTAGGGGGGGAAAGCACTGCATAAGCCTCAGAACTGTGAATTCAGCAGAAGGCTGTGCAATAACAACTGGCATACTCAGAGTTCTAGAAAGTCTGCCTGACTGGAAAAGCAGAGCTTGTCATATGGATCCAGTTAGCTGTAAGGCTGGTTGCAGCTGAGATAAGCATCCCCCCCACCCCCCAAAAAATGAAGAGGAGGCAGTCTTCACCTTGAAACTCCAAGAGGTAGGGTGGAGTGACTTCTGAGTGAAATCCCCAACAAGCACAAAGAGAGGGGTGAAGAGGAATATCTGCAGTTGGACACCACTACAAAACATATCTCCGATCTTTGCACTGGACATTCGCACAAGGATTGTTGGTTTCAATAGATCATCCCCCTACCTGCTGTCCTCCAAATCTTTTGGACTACAATTCCAGTGAGCTCCAGTCAGTATGGCCAATGGTCAGAGATAATGCAAAATGGAATTCGCAGCATCTGGAGCGCACCTGCACTAACATCTGCTGCAATGAATTCAGACCATATATTTGGGGTACAAGCAATAGGATTGGTTGCTACAACTGATACTAGCTGAGCATTTTGTATTTATCACAGTTCTCTGTGTAGCTTTGCTGAAAGTCTTGAACATCAATTGGTTGAAATTTGGAAAATCAAATGTTCTCAAACATGCCACAAATACAGACCCATGATCACGACCACCTCTGTCTTCCCCAAAAGCATGCTTCAAATGTTGTTAATCTAAGTCTTTAAATAATGATGATGATGTCCTAGGGAGACAGTGGTTGTTTGTTTTTGGGGATTTTTTAGCTTGATTGTAGGTATTAGAAAATGCTGGCATCATTCTGAGAAAATTCTGCAACATCCCAGCCTGGCCAGAGCCAATTAAAATCGTTGCAAGATGACGTACACGTCTCGACTGGGGGCAGGAGAAAGTCAACCAGCAGGAGTGGAATAATCAGATCCAAGTTGATTTCCATCTGTAAGATTTAACAGATAGGCTGACTCTTCAGACTTACATAAAAACGATTAAACAAAATCCTCATGATGACTACATGATGTCTTTCACCAGACAGGACAGCTGGCAGCAAAGAAGGTTTTTGAAAAATTCCATTGCCCCAGGAATGGAAAACTACAAGATCTTTACAGTTATCAGACTGCATCTCGTTGGTCCAGTATAATGAATCCCTTCCACTCTCCATAATTTAACACTAAGATTTCACCATGGGCAGTGAAATACAGTCAAACTATGGTAGTTTTCTACCCTCCAAAGCTCAAAAACATGGACGGTTTCTTCCAACTGAATCCTTTTTCCATTTTAAAAAAATGAATATTTTTTTCTTTATGGATTTGTTCCATTTTGAGTGATTTTATTAATGGTAAAAAAAAAAGCATCACAGAAGAAATGTATTTCTGAAGTACATAAAAATATATTAAACCTAAGCAATTCACAAGGGGGAACAAACAACACACTCTGCTGCCCTCATGTGGATGTAAATGGAAGCTATATCTGAAACAATCGTCCCTTTTCCCTATTCCCAAAGCTCACAGAAGGAATTTCCATTTGAAAAGGTTATAAGGTTATAATTTCTCGAATTTCCATTTGAATTTGTCATTTTGGTCCTGTTCAGTAAGCTAGAAGTTGCTAACTTGGCACCCGTGGGTGCAGCAGCAGCAGCACCCTGGAGGTGTTCTCCAGCTGCCCATGTGAAGCTTTTGATCTTCCTATTGTCCATCCAAATGACTCAGGGAGCAGACCAGGTGAAGGCAGGCTTAATATGAGCAGAGACTTTTGCAAAGCTGGGACAAAGGCACTCAGGCCTCATCCACACCATACATTTAAAGCACATTGTTTAACACAAAGTATACAGCTAACTGAAGTTTACCACTCACAGAGTTCCAGCACCCTTAACAAGTTGCTTTGTTCCAGGATTCTTGGGGGAAGTAACATGCTTTCAATGTATGATGAGTATGCAGCTGCAAGCACAGGCATTTTGCAGACCCCATCACCCCAAAATAAGCACTCGGTCCTAAAAAGTACCCACATTCCAGCTACAAGCTTTCAACTTGCACCCCTGCTTTTCTCCATGGGAAGCAGGCAGGCAGACAACTAGCCAGTGAACTTATACCATCAATGCAATTACAGTATAAATTATGGCTTTCAGGGCACATTGTAAAGCAAACCTGTCTCATTATCTATTTCAAAGACAGGCACAGCAAAAACCACCGTGTTTGTTTATTCTGATGTGGAATATTTTTCATCAGTGCATCTCAGTGTGTTTTATAGTAATTGTTTTCACCTCAGTGAAAAACTCATAGGAATCCTTTGCTCCTTCTCTGCCTACCCCTGAGGCTTTCATGCCGCCAAAGGGCAAATTCAAGTCCCTGATAAGCCAGCAGTTGGTCCACACCAATCCACACTGGAGTTTCTTAGCAACGCGATGAACCCGCCCCACATCCCTTGACCAGACAGTGGCTGCCAGTCCGTATTTGACCCCATTCGCTCTCCTGATCACTTCCTCTTCCGTGTCAAACACTGTGACGCAGGTTACAGGGCCAAAGATCTCGTCCTGCATGCAACTTGAGTCATCGGCAAGTTCAGTAATGACCGTCGGAAGCATGAAATACCCATTCCGGTTTCTTGTTGGAAGAGTCAAAGTATCGATCCCCTCTCCACAGAGAATTTTACCCCCTTCAGACTCTGCTTTTTTTGATGTAGTTCTTTACCTATTAGGAGCAACAGCAACAAATCATTTTCGGAAAGGGTTGCAATTTCCAATTATCCACAGATTGGCTACAGAAATATTTTATTTATTTATAGGTATAAAAGTATTTCTAAAGCATCCTCATAAAATATCAGGGCAGTGCACACAAAAGAAATGCTTTTAGAAAACCTTAAAAGCATAATGTAGTAGTTGTGAAAGGTTTCAACAGCTCTGAAGGCCTTTCAGTGTAAAAAAAAAGGGGGTCTTCAGGAGGCTCCTGAAAGTCAAAAGTGAGGATGCTGACAAATCTCTGCTGGAAGATGGTTCCACAGCATGGGACCACTGACACTAAATGCCCCTGACATCTGGTTGAGGCCAGTCAGGGGGACAACTAACAGTGCACCTCCAGACTCCAGTGATTGGTCTGGGGTATAAGGGCTCAAGCAGTGCTTAAGACAGCCTGGACTCAAGGTGTCCAGGGAAACACAAGGCCCTTCAACCTGGCCCAGCAGCATATGGGAAACCAGAGCAGGTGCTTTAGCCGATGTGTCGCACGCTGCTGGTCAGCTGCCCCCACCAGCATCCTAGTCACTGTGTTCTGCACTAGGTAGAGCTTCTGGACCAGGCCCAAGGGAAGCCCCGCATAGAGTGCATTGCAGTAATCCAGCCTAATCCAAATACAGTGGTACCTCGGGTTACATACGCTTCAGGTTACAGACTCCACTAACCCAGAAATAGTACCTCGGATTAAGAACTTTGCTTCAAGATGAGAACAGAAATTTTGCGGTGGCAGTGGGAGGCCCCATTAGCTAAAGTGGTGCTTCAGGTTAAGAACAGTTTCAGGTTAAGAACAGACCTCCGGAACGAATTAAGTTCTTAACCCGAAGTACCACTGTATGGGACTTTTTCCAAGTGATTTGTACTGAAATGTCAACAGCAAGCACATGAGGCGGGGGCAGTACAGCTTTTGGAGAAGCTTCCTAGCTCCACCTCCCTCTATCGCATACTAAAGTTGTGGAAGGTGATAGTCCAAAACCTGAAGCTCTTGCGTCAGAATCCTAGTTATGCAAGGGGCCCCCACAGACACAAAAGGCTCCCTGATTCACAGTGTCACCTTCCATGTGTTAGAAGGGCATGGAGCTAGTGCACTCATTTGCACTGCATCTGTTTGCGGATGTTGTTTGGTAACACCTGAAGAGAGCTGTTAGGGATTTCAGGTACTTAACTAATAATGTTGATAGTAATCAATGCTGGGGAAACCCTTGGAGCATTAAAAGTTTATATTGGCTCTTGGAAATCGAAAATATTATTTTCAATCCTGCTGTCAACATGTTTGGAAAACAAGCTTACAAGAGGAAGCAACAGTTTTAATTCCTTGTCACCCGGACAATACATGCAATTTTAACAACTGCAGTACTTAAATTTTGAAAGGTATACTGGGCCTCAAAATCAGCTAAAAGTTCTGCCCTGTTCCACAACCCAAAATGACTGTGAATTTACAGTGAGGTGAGAAAAAAGTACTCTCTTCATATCCTGAGGTCCCTTCTTCTCAAGCCAGAAAGAAAAACAGCACTTTATTTGATCACAAATAATCAACAGCGCGGGTGGCGCTGTGGGTAAAACCTCAGCGCCTAGGACTTGCCAATCGCATGGTCGGCGGTTCGAATCCCGCGGCAGGGGTGCGCTCCCATCGTTCGGTCCCAGCGCCTGCCAACCTAGCAGTTCGAAAGCACCCCTGGGTGCAAGTAGATAAATAGGAACTGCTTACCAGCGGGAAGGTAAACGGCATTTCTGTGTGCTGCGCTGGCTTGCCAGACGTAGCTTGTCACGCTGGCCACGTGACCCGGAAGTGTCTGCAGACAGCGCTGGCTCCTGGCCTCTAGAGTGAGATGAGCGCACAACCCTAGAGTCTGTCAAGACTGGCCCATACGGGCAGGGGTACCTTTACCTTCCTTAATCAACTTGGTTTTTCTTTTTCTTTACCTTTGCTAAATGTTCTTTACTTATCAGTGCTCCCTGGTCAATTGTGGGATCTGAGGGGTTTCCAACTTTCCACTTTTTGACAGCTTCCACAAACCTTCTCAAGAATTCATTGTAAATGTTTCTTTGAACAAAGATTCTGCTGGTGCAGAGACATATTTCACCCTAGTAATAGGATGGAGAGGCAGGAGGGAAGAAAAAACATTGGTCAAGGATGAAAAATGTGATTTGTCTTAATCCAGATTCATTTATACTTGTCTTCTGCTTTCAATATAGACTGATTCTAGATCTTAGCTGTTCACAAAAGTAGGTGTGGTTACTTAGTGCCCCATTCCCCAGCACATGCTACCTGAGGCCCTGGAATTACCATATTTTTTGCTCTATAAGACTCACTTTTTCCCTCCTAAAAAGTAAGGGAAATGTGTGTGCGTCTTATGGAGCGAATGCAGGCTGCGCAGCTATCCCAGAAGCCAGAACAGCAAGAGGGATTGCTGCTTTCACTGCGCAGTGATCCCTCTTGCTGTTCTGGCTTCTGGGATTCAGAATATTTTTTTTCTTGTTTTCCTCCTCCAAAAACTAGGTGCATCTTGTGGTCTGGTGCGTCTTATAGAGCGAAAAATATAGTACTCCATCAAGTGCAAATATCAGCATGTGGTTATATTGTTTGCCCCTAGTACCACATAGACATTAGCTATCTTAACAGATGTGAGCTTCTAACTCCATGTTTGCCCAGATAACAGGGAGGAAGGTCACTTACAGGGACAATAATTAGGTATGAGAAGGGATATTTAACTCCTCTTGTAGCTACTGATTATTTCCTGTCAATCTACACACACACACACACACACACACACACACCCCCCCTACAATCAAATTCACTTCTAATTTCAGACCCAGATTGGGGGCAGGGGCAGTAATCTTTTGGAGGAATTTGCAGGGATGAATTGATAGGTGCTCTCTCCCACTCAGATTCTCTGCTGGAAAATCCCTCCCTGGGATGTCCTGGTCCTCACCCTCTCCAATTCCCATTGCAAATATTATTCATCCCATCACCACCACACATGCCTGTTCACAACAGCAGTGATGTCCAGCTCATGTGTGAAAAGGCCGTCAGACATTTGACTGACACCACTGAGTGAAGGAATATCAAGTAACAGATGTTTCATGTTTGAATCAGCTGAGGACAGCCTTTTGAAATAGATCTTTGGTGATCACTCGTGGCCAGGTAAGATGGTCTTCCATGAACACAGTCTTAACAATGAGTCTGTAAGTGACTGTGGAGGCCAATTCTGGATCCACACTTCCTTCCACAGTGGGAATGCAGCTTATATGGCCACAGCGCTGGATGGGGTGAATAAGATGATGAGGGGCTGCAGTTTCCAAAGCAGTAACTGAATGTTTAAAAGTGTTAACCGTTTCTGCGCGGAAATTTGGAGCAAATTACTCACACAAGCCTGTCATCTGATTGATGTCACACTGTGCTTCCTGCATAATTACTGAACAGCGACACCACTGAAGTTTGCAATTAGTCAACTTGGAAAACAGATCTGATCAATTTGTGATGCTCAATTAACAAATGCCATCCCTCTGGATCTTAATGACTAACAAGCTTCTGCACCTGGACAGCCAACATTCAGCAGACAAGGGAGCTAAAGCAAACAGTGCATGTGAGGAGATCACTGCAAATTCCTTACCATTTATTGAAGATTTTGTTAAAACTCTGATGGGCTGTGTGAAACCAACGCACAATTTATGCTGTATGTGAGGAGGGGGGAACACACTTATCTATCATATTCTATAACCCGGCTTTTTAAGTGTGTGTGTGTGTGTGTGTGTGTGTGTGTGTGTATGCAGATCTATGGCATAAAAATAATTAATCAAAACTTTGCAATAATATTTACCTTGGCAAGTTTCTAAATGTGGAATTTAAGAACTAGGTTCCACTTGCACTGCAATGGCATATAGGCTCTACAGAACTGTGTGTGCAGCGAAGGAACCCTCGTTGCACCTCCTCCAAGCATCCCATTCAACAGTAAATTGACTACCCAACCAAATAATCAAATCAACCAAGCAATTCTTCCTTGGTGACCATATATTCTCTACTGAGGCATCTCCAGCTTTTTGATTGTAGCTGAATGAATTTTTCATTGCCTCCCACTGCTAATTCTGCCAAGTACTCTCTTACATGTATATGTGATTCCAAGTGGCACTACAGCACTGCACATGAGGGGGGTTTTTAGGGGGGGTATAGGTGGCAATTAATGCATGTTTCATTGCCATCTATCATACCCAAGCACTCTTCTACTGTAGGGGGATTTCTCCAAGTGGCCTCCTGCCACAGGACTATCAGGGTGTGGGTGTCTTCTTGCTGTTGTTGATATGTTCCTCAGATTCTCAAGTATCTCAGATGCATTTGCTTGGTATGGCAACTAGACAACAGTTCCCAATGTGCAAGTGGAATTATACGCATGGCACCAGATAATACCAACACTCACGGGGTGTCAGAAACACCATCTGTGCACTTGCATCAACACATATACGGACTAGGAGGGAATTCTCAAACAGAACTCAAATTTTCTCTGAACATGCTCTGAGGAAGCTGAAAAAGCACCAGCCAATAATAAATCAAGAGGATTAGCATTTGCTTATTCATTCCTATCACTTGATATTTATGTCTTCGTATCCACTCAGTTTGTCCCTTGTGGGATAGCCTTGTAGAAATCAGTTCCCGCATTCAAAATGACCCCCTCAGGATAAAATTCTGTTAGGGAGGGCATGCACATTTTTGGAGTTTCAAAAGGAAAGCAATGAACTTAGTATAAAAAGAGACAGGGAGTTGCCCATTTTCCATACCTGATTCGCAAAGCTGGATCTTACATTAGTAGGAACGCATTCATCTAAGTTGGCATCCTCAAAGATGATAGCTGGATTTTTTCCTCCAAGCTCCAGAGAGAGCTTCTTACAATACGGAGCACTCCTTTCAATGATGCGCTGGCCAGTGAGAGTGCTTCCCGTGAAGGAAATTAGTGACACCTTGGGATGGGAAACTAGAGCATCTCCAGCTTTTGGACCACTCCCAAATATGATGTTCACCACACCTGGAGGAATACCTTGCAGGTAGAAATAAAGAAAACATCAACACTCCTTCTCTTTGCAAACTTGGTAGCATGCTACTTTAAAGACTACCCTACATCCTATAGCAATATATACACACTGGGATGCAAATGTGTTAACTGTTTTATTACTATACAGTGATACCTCGGGTTAAGAACTTAATTTGTTCTGGAGGTCCGTTCTTAACCTGAAACTGTTCTTAACCTGAGGTACCACTTTAGCTAATGGGGCCTCCCGCTGCCGCCGTCATGCAATTTCTGTTCTCATCCTGAAGCAAAGTTCCTAACCAGAGGTACTATTTCTGGGTTAGCAGAGTTTGTAACCTGAAGTGTCTGTAACCTGAAGCGTCTGTAACCTGAGGTACCACTGTATTGACACTTTACAGATTGGTTTACAGAAAATATGACACCCCTATACTAATACATCATTTGGGGAATTACCTGCTTTATTGAGAAGCTTGCACATCATCCAAGCAGTGGCAGATGTCATCTCACTGGGTTTGGCAATGACAGTGTTTCCACACGCAATAGCCGGCGCAATTTTCCAGGTCAGCAAGTAAAGTGGCAAATTCCAAGGACTAATTAAGCCAGCTTTATTTTTATTGTTATTTTAAAGGAGAGAAACAAAATAAATTGGTTTAAAACGGGAGTCTTGACATTTTGACAAAAGTTGAGATTTCCCCAATACCCAGCTTGGGAACTCTGCATGCGCTTCAACTGTTTTCCCTTCTACTCTACCCTCAAGGATCCATTCCGGCTGCTAGCCTACAGGGGAAATATTCATCTGTGTCGGGGGAGGGCAATTTTTTCAGCCAGAGGGTCATATTTCCTTCTGCGCAACTATCCAGAGGACACAAGCCTGTGGTGGGTGGGGCCAGTAGGAAAAGTGTGTTTTGTTGTTGTTGTTTAGTCGTTTAGTCGTGTCCGACTCTTCGTGACCCCATGGACCAGAGCACGCCAGGCACTTCTGTCCTCCACTGCCTCCCGCAGTTTGATCAAACTCATGCTGGTAGCTTCAAGAACACCATCCAACCATCTTTAGAATCACAGAATTGTAGAGCTGGAATGGACCACGACGGTCATCTCGTTCAGTCCCCTGCAATGCAGGATATTTTGCCCAAGGTGGGGCTGAAAGCCATGATCCCGAGATTAAGGATCGCATGCTCTACCGACTGAGCCATCCTACCTTGGCAGAGCAGTGTGACTCTTGCCTTTGTGCAGTCAGTTACACCCCTCTCTGTCCTCCATCCAAGGTAAGCAAAAAGCGTTATGACTTCCAAGACCAGACCATTTTAGCAAAGAGAAGAGGCAGCATATGCTGCCAGTTAAAATTTGACCCATATGCTCACACTAAACAAACTTTATAGGGCAGTCCAGATTTGAAGATCGAGAGGCAGACTTTTTCGTGTGGAAGGAATTGATTGAATGTGGGATATATATATAGGCTGAGAGGCTCAGATGAAGAATTTTTGTTATTTCCTGTTTTACAACTTAAATATCAATTACTGACTAGTGCAGAGTGGCAATAGCTGCAATTTAAACATTTGCCAGTGTCTATTTATGGCATACTTGCTTTGTGTGCTTCGGCACCTCCTAAACTGTTTTAGGGAATCACTGGGTCCTTACAGAAAGCTAAACCTTTCATTGTTGCTTGCAAATGCTTAATTACACAGAATGTTTCCTTAGATTTGAAATTGAAATTGATCCAGCAAAAGTTAATATTCTGAGTATACTGGAGTCCACAAAGCTTGCATAGGAAGGAGCTGTCCAATACACCGGGATGTTGAGGTATAATGCTGAGAACACCTTGTTGAGGCATAGGAGTAGTAGTAGTAGTAGCAGCAATAATAACATTTTAAAATTCTGAAGTAAAATTGTGACACCTAGTGGCATATCTGTGGAATTCCATAAACAGAAAGCACATTTTACAAAACAGTAGAATTAAAGTAGGTTACGTTTTATCAGAATGTGGGATTAAAAGCTTGTATTTAAAATGTGAAAATGTGAAATTTATCTGCTCTTCCCATTTACAAAACCTTCATACTCCATTGAAGGTTATGGGATGTTGTGTTTTGTTGTAAAATCTATGGTGTGCAAAACTGTAAAAACAAAGAAACAAGGGATGGAAATTGTAGACATATTCTGGGACATCACTTGATGTAGATTGGAATGTGATTTATTTTGTTACGTTATCTGAAATACTTTATTCAGACCATTGAGCTATGGCCCTTCCTCGTGTTGTCCTCGTTAACCTTTGAGGTGGTAAATTCTGGAGTGGGCTCAGGCTGCAATAGATCCTAACAAAGGTGCCAGGGTCACAACTGAGCACTGCTGGGTCGTGTGCAAACAGCACACTCCATAATAGGCCTTACCAATTCCCACAGGTGCTCTCTCAGTATAATGCATACAGCCCACATGGTCCATCTGTGTACATTCTGCTGTCTGGTGAAGGATGGATGACGAAAAGAAACGGAAATTGTATACAGATCGGGGGATGTCCACCATTCTAGCAAATGTAATGGTTTTCCCTGAAACAGAGAACCAGTTAACAAATACGACGACGCTTTTGTTATTTAAGCAAGGAATTAATTGCCCAGATTTCATAGCCAGTGCCCCACTGCAACCATTACAAGTTGCAAGCAGTTTACAGAAATGTGCAGGGAAGCATGCACTTGTACCTGATGAGGCATTCAAGTATTACGTATTGATTATGCAAAACGAAGAGCACATAGGAAGGTGAAAACTCAAAGAGAACATCATTTCCTTCACCCTATTACCACTTGGAAGCGCAGCCCAAACAGGCTTCTCTCTTTACCTTGATCCTTTGATTCTGCTTGAGCAAATGACTCCAGATCTTCTTCAATAAGGTCTGCCAACTTGCTCATTATTTTTGACCTTTCCTGGGGGCTTTTGGCCGACCAGCCTGGGAAAGCATTTTGGGCAGCAATGACAGCTGCCTCAACCTTAAAAAGACAATGAATGCATGCAGTTTGGGTAGTGTTCAGCAAAACCAAAACACACAGTGTATGTTAACAGAAATTATGAGGAAAGGGGGGGGGGATTGCTTCGTGGCAAAGCTCCTGTTTTGCATGTAGAAGGTCCCATGTTCACTCCTTGGCATCTCCAGGTAGGGCTGGGATGGACTCCAATCTGGAACCCAGACAGTCAGTATAGACATACTGAGCTAGGAAGATCAATAATTTGACTCTGCATAAGGCAGCTTCCTATGTATTTATTGTACCACCCTTTCCATGACTCACTTCAAGCCAGGGCACCATTCCAAGTAGAAAACCATAGCAGAAATACACAGAGGAAATTAATAAGTATTAAAAATAGGCTCTAGAGCAGGGATGTGGAATGAGTGGCGCTTCAGATGTTGTTGAGTTTCGATTTTTATCAGTCCCAACTAGCATGGCTAATGGCCATAGACGATGGGAGTTGGAGTCCAACAACATCAGGAGGACCACAGATATTGCACCCCTACTCTGGAGCATATATAGATTGCTTCTTAGCTACCTAGGTCAACCACAGCCACCAGCCATGTATGAGAGTAGTGTTCAGAATCAGCAGTTATCACAACTGTTCAGGGAAGCTTTTAGTGTGTGATGCTGTATTGTGCTCTATGTTTGATGAGAGCCACACAAGAGTGGCTGGGGCAACCCAGTCAGATGGGCACTACTACTACTACTATTAGACTTATCTTCTGGGCAGCTGTGAGACAGGCACCTCTTCTTTAGAAGCAGAAGTTAAGCTATTGCCAAGACTATCGCTTGACTTGCCCAACGTTAGATCTACAAATGTTGTTGGGTCTATAACTTGCACCATCCTCAAGACACTGGCTATGCTGGCTGGGAATGATGGGACTTGTTAACTGGGGACCCGAAGTTGGAGAAGGCTGTGTTAGCCCTGTCTAGGAACAATACTCTTCCATCTGTATTCAAAACAAAAAAAAATTTCTTTCCAGTAGCACCTTAAAGACCAACTAAGTTAGTTCTTGGTATGAGCTTTCGTGTGCATGCACACTTCTTCAGATCTTCAGTATCTGAAGAAGTGTGCATGCACACGAAAGCTCATACCAAGAACTAACTTAGTTGGTCTTTAAGGTGCTACTGGAAAGAAAAAAAATTTGTTTTGACTATGGCAGACCAACACGGCTACCTATCTGTAACTTCCATCTGTATGTCATCTTCCAATTTATTACATTAGGTGGCACTGTTGAGCTTTCGTTTTAAGGGTAATAGCAAGAAACCAGCCATTTCTCCAGTTCGCATATGTGCTTATGGGCCCCAAAAGATTAGCAACTCCTGTGCTAAGCAGCAGCCAGGAACAACAGAGACCCATCTGGTTTCAATGGATATGGGGAGCACTGATGACCCATTGGAGTGGATGAAAAACACAAGCACTGAAAAAGCAGCAGGCCGGTCTGAACAGTCATCTAAAAGTCAAGTTTACAGATTTGCCAAAAGCTGTTGTCAAACTCTCACCAACCCTGTCATGATGTTTGGGTGAGGAAATGTTATCTTCCAGATGTTGTTGAACACCAATTACCATGAAGTCTCAGTCCATTCTGGCCAGTGGTTAGAGTTCATAGGAGTTGGAGTCTATCATCATCTGGGGAACCATAGGATCCCCACCCTTGGTTTAGGACAAGTCATCACACAGACAGAAGCCAGCAGGTTGTGCATTTTCCCAGTCTCATCACTGACTGTCGCTGGCAGGGAAATGCAGAAAGGGGGGCCCCTGATCCGCATGAGGAATGCTCTTAGATGTTACAGCAAGGATTATGAGAGTGCTCCACAGCAGTTACCAAGCCTTGAAATAAAAATGGAGCCCACTGCAAGTTTTTTTCCCTAAGGAGTACACAAACACCTCTATCTCCATCTATGTAAGTGCACATACATCTGGAGGACACAGCCTTAGGGAAGGCTGGACCACAGGTCAATGCAAGTGGCTACTTGAAGTTCTTCTCTAAACATAATTGGTCAAATATAAAATCACCCCTTCTGTTTACATACAGAAGCAAACTAGGAAAGCACAAAGCTTCAGGGAGCAAGTTTAAACTTTAGCAAACCCAGCTAGTTACACTTCAACCATTACTTATCACTGCTTAGCAAATATTTGATAGACTGGCAATGCTGAAGGTTGAGGTGAAACTGCAAAAACATATATGTCGGTTTGTTTTTTGCAACTCCAGTCATTACAAATAGCTATTTTGATTTAACTCAGTTCTTTTCAAAGCCTTAAGGAATAATGCATTAGGTGTAAGAGGCCATGAACACAGTCATGTAACAAGCAATTCACTGCCTTCTCAGTTCACCTTGTCATTGGATACACTTCCATCTTACCAGTTTGAGAAACAGCTCATCGAGAAAAAAAAGAAACTTCAAGGGAAAGTACATTAAACTTGGGTAGGAACATTGAGGGCTTCAACTAGTGGAAAGGAGTTTTGATTCAAAGATTTTAAAGCTTCAAACCAATACCATTAACCAATGCCAGACAGACATTCTCTGCAAATATTTAGCAGCATAATACAAAACATAAGGCAATTTCACTATTAGTTTTATACGGGGGGAAAAGTTAAACAAATAAAATCAGCTGCAAACCATTTTTGTTAATTGTCCAGGCAATTACCCTGATACCATGAAAAAGGAGTTGAATCTATGCAGGAACTCACCTCCTCTCTGCCACTGTCTGGCACCTTGCAATAAACTTCTCCTGTAGACGGGTCATAGGAATCTAAATATGAGGAGCAAGGAATAAATTGGCCTCCTATATAGTTCTCCAAAACCAAGTGAGTCTTTGAGCCGGCCATTGTGACTCCGTTGGCATGATCGGAGTACTTTCAGTGAGCTTTCAGTTCATAGTGCACATCTATTGATTTATGCTTGTAAGCCAGAGCTCCTCCCTCCCTCCCTTTAACTTCGTTAACTGGATCTCCGAATGGGAAATTTCCATCTCTCTTCAGACAATGCTAGATACTATGGACATATGATGATAATAATGCCCAATTCACTTGTTTGTTTTCTAAATTATGATGCCCACACAGGATGATTTTATCATGTACATGTGGTGGTGAGTGTGCGAAACTGGTATTGGTACAACTTTGCATAAAATAGCCAACATGTGAAAAAAATCCAAATGCCTCTCTACACAAAATACATGATTGATTCAGTGTAAAGACTTCAAATGTGAACAATACTTGATGCGAGAGGAGGAAACAGGCGTGGAATGTATAGGCTGATAATTATTATATGTAACAAATTACTGTAGCAGGCCTTCGGCTGGGTATATATTAAGCACACACAACTTTCCCTTTAAATTTATTAATTCATCTTCATCCTCATGGGCTTAAGGCTGGTTCCAAAAATATTTAGATCACTGTAAGTGGTTTTTCACTTACCTCTAGAAGCAGGTATATTAGCTGTTGCTCAGTTAAAATTGTGCAGATGTATTGCATTTTAAGCTATCTGCACAATAAGAATACAAAATAGACTAAAAAAACAACAACTGTAATGCAATCCAGAATGCTATGACCTCCAAATAAGAAAGACTAGGAATTATGTGCATTGAATGCACATGGAAATTATACAATCGATCTTTCAGTGGCCCTGAAACCATCTCCCTCCCCCTTGACTTGCATGATAAGCTATCAGGTTTTTCTTTAGGAAACTATAAGTTTTCCTCTAAAAGTTCAGTAAAATGTCAAAGGATGAAATTGATTCCATTGTCTCCAGACCACTCCCTCTTCGAGAAATCATCTGAGCTGAAGATGGAATAGTTTATGCAGCACACTTACATAGCTCATCAGAACTGGACATTATATAGCTTCATGAAACTTCAAGTGTGATACATCACATCAGAGTTTTCCAAACTTTTCATGTTGGTGACACTTTCTAGACATGCATAATTTTGCAAGTAATTCAGCTTTACTAGCAAACCAGAGGTTAAACTAACCCTTTCCCAGCCCTGGAAGGTGCGCAGGGAGCGTTCACGCGACACACCTACACACTGCAGCTGACACACTAATGTGTCACAACACACAGTTTGGAAGGCTCCCTACCAGTGCTTTGGCCTTTTAAAAAATCCTATGAAGATTATTTTTATTTAACTAGATTTGCTGGGGCATGACATGGGGAGCGAAAAAAGGGAGCCAGGAGGAAATGCATGTAAAAATGTAGACACAGAGCAGCTCTTCAGATGTTACTCCAACATGAAGAGTGAGACTGATTTAATGTAATGGTGATACTCAGGGCTGCATCCCTCCAAGTTATCCCATTTGCACAAGGACTTCCAGCTTCACAACAAAACCTTCTCCACCTTTCATTCTGCTGCATTCCCCTGCTCCTCAATCTGTTCTGCGGTTCCCTCAAACCTCCAGAGCAGATGTGGGGAGCAGAAGTTCTGTTGTGCAATCAGTTCCAGAGCCACTGCCGATCTGATGAGGCAAAGTACAAGGGCAGAATTCCCATCCCCAAATGCAGTGATGACCACTATCTACAACAACAAAAGATAGACTGATCATCTTCATTTTAGAAGTACTGGCATTGTAGCTCATTTAGACCATGTAATTGATAGGTGAAGAGAAAATCAATACACTTGACCTGTCTTTAAAAGATGGCACATGTAAAGGTAAGATTCAAGGAGTTGCTGTAGACTTCTTGGGTGTTCTGAGATGTGCAGAGTGCTTATACACCTTCAGACTTAGGTGTCATCTGCTGGTATGCACCTATGTCTTTACAAGTTCACATCATTTGACAAGGGGGCCTGTTTACTGCCCCTCATAACCAACTGTACCCCAACTGCGCCAAGATTTTATTTATACAAGACAACATGAACAGAAACAAATATTATGCTCAGGCCAAGCTACTTTATTCTTCTACAATCTAAAAAATAAAAATAGCCATTATTGGACTAACTAGGGCTACACAAATAAGTTTTAAATTAATCTGGAACAGAAAGAAATTAATGGTTAATAATGGTTTCTGAAACAGAAGGAAACAGGGTTCTTTGAAAATGTATTTGTATAAAATCTGGAACGCTATAGCCCAATTGAATTAATTTATGAAATAATGTGCAGCAGGTAAGCAGTGCCCCCCACCCAAAAATAAATTGTAAACAATGTTTAAGGCTGGAAGTAACATGCTTTCCCCCCACGATGAATCATTGTCCTTTAACACATCTTTCTGATAAACTTTTCATAAAGGTCCTCTAGAGTTACCAATGATGGTTTAAATGGGAAATAGAGTGGAACTTGTGCAGTAAGAAAGTGCAACGTGTATTTCCCTATTGGCATACTATTTTGAAGCAAGGACAGCTTCAAAATGTTTGAAGAACACCTGGTATTTCATCTCCTCCTCTTAGAAAGGTAATTGCCTTTGCTCCTTCCACTGATATGACTGGATTCATCAAATAAACATATTTGGACATATGATTTCATTTGGTTGGGTTGCAGAAGTTCTGGCACAGTCATCATTCTTTTATCTAAAAAGAAGAATAAGAATTTAAATTTTTCAGAAAAGACATTGGCATTTATCCAAAGTGTACAAATGCAAAGAGCTGGAACCAGGTTTGAAGGTGTTACTGGGCAGGGCCAGCACACAAGCTGACCATATTTTATTTATTTATTACCTTTCATAGCTAACAGTAGTAGTGGGGAGTGGTAAGAATAGTAAGGGGGGGGGAGAGAATTTTATATTGGGGAAATGGCATAGAGGAAAGGGGTTTTTTTTAAAAACAAAAACCCTCTCCTAGCAGCACAGCTCCAATGCAAAAATTCTTGCCCTCACAACCTGCTTTTAAACAAGCAAGCAAAGAGACATTTGGTGATCCAAGCACAGATCCCCCATCATCACATCTAGTTTGGCGCTTAACCTTTTGTGAAAGAACTCAGCAAGACTTCTCTGCCTAAGATCACTGCGAGGTTCCCTAAACAAAATGCTGGTGTGTTTGGAACTTTGGAAAAGAATGGCAGCTGAGCAGGAGATATGATAGAGGTTGATGAGATTATACCTGATGTGGAGAAACGAGAGACCCAGAACAAACAAAAGTGTTTTTCACATATTACATAGATTACAGACCCTGTTGTCACAAGTTGTAATAGGCTCAGATGGCTTTAAATTCAGATCTGAGACACTTATGAAGAACAGGTTTTTATCAATAGATATAAGCCATCGTAGACTAAATAAAACCTCTGGGTTCAGAGGCAGTATTCCACTGAACAGTAACTGAGTCTGTGCACACACTAGTGAATAGTAGGTCGTCTGTGTGTGTTACCTTTATGGCATGGGAACAAGATGTTGGACTGGGTGGACCATTGGTCGGATCCAGCATGGCTCTTCTTCTATTAATTGGGACTTGTGTAAGAGCAATGGGGTATGGCACACAAGGGCTACCTTCTTCTAGCCATGTTGAGCTTGGGATGTGACTAAGCACATAAATGAGTGAAGAGCTGCAAGCACAGCTCTTTGAAAGCACACTGACACATCATTCCATGAAGCCGTTTCTGCAGTTAGCTAAAATGCTGCCCAACTGTAAGGTTTAAAAAGTGCACACGCAAAACCTTCACAATTTTCGTTCAGGAAGATGACTCTTATGCCACCCTGCCTCAAGAAAAGTTGTGCGACTCAACTGCATAGACAATTCATCACATGACCTACTTGGCATCTCTGAAATACTAAAAACAAAAAATGCTTACATATACCACAGCCAAATAATGGCTTTTAAGCAGTATGCATTTTAACACAGCAGTCTCCTCTGAACTAAAACCACAACTTTGCCTTTCTTCACATTGTACCTTCTAAGAAGTTTGGATGGGCAGATAAAGCCGAATCAAGCTATTCACACATGTACCTCTCAAGTGACATGCTGTGGATTAAGGGAACTGAAATGCTGCCACTTTCTGCATTACAACAAGCAGCTGATCCACCATCTAATTTTCCGAGACAGACCATCTTGTCAGAACCTGATCCCCAACCTATTGAGGACTGGGATGACCAAGCCTCTTCTTACAGATTCCCAAACCCCAATCAAAGTAGGATCGATGCTGGGCTAAACCACCTCCATCAAGGGAAAAAAAACCCAGTCAGCTAACTAAAGGATAGCATAAGAAAAGTGCAAATCACCAAGGAAAAATAAGGAAGGCAAGATATGATTGCCATCTTCAAATACCCAAAGGGCTGTCACGTGGAAGATAGAGCAAGCTTATTTTCTACTGCTCTGGAGGGTAGGACCCACACCAACGGATTCAAGGAGATTTTGACTAACTATCAGGAACAACTTTGTGACAGAAAGAGCTGTTAGATTGTGGAACAGTCTCCTTAGGGAGGTTGTGGCCTCTCTTTCATTGGAAGCTTTAAGCAAAGGTTGGGTGGCCATCTGCTATGGATGCTTTAGCTGAGATTCCTGCATTGCAGGGGTTGGACTAGATGACTTAGGGGGTCCCTTCCAACTCTACAATTCTATGAGAATTGAGACCTGGACAGAAAAGTGTTTACAAAGATTTTGGCCTGGGAGACGAAAAAAGTGCTAATATTTCTAAGTGGTTGTTGTTTATTTCCTTTAAAATGTTTAATAAAAGAGTCTCATTTCCAAGCCTGATTAAGCTATTCAAGTAGTCTGTAGTTCATTGTAGGTGATTTTTTGAAACAAGTGGCTGGAACCTCAACGCAAAGAATATACCACTTCATAATCAGTCATTATAAAGCATGCATGCAAACACATGCTATACCTCCGTCACAACTCCTGCAGCTATGGTGGAGCCACTGTACCGCAACATGAACCTTCCAAGTTCTTTGAAGTCTTTATAAAGTTCCAGAGCAACAGGCCTTTGCGTTTGCAGTTCTACTAAAGCATTCTGTCCTTTAGTCAAACACCTGTAAGGGGGAAAGAGCAACAGTTCATATACATTGTTATTGGATCTATTATTGTGCCTGTGCACATGTGTTCAAGGAAAACACACATTTTGGGGAATCAGTAATACCAACTTTGGAATATTTACTGGCGACAAATGCTCACCGCAGAAAGGATTGCATTGTAGATTCAGGTAGGTAGCAGTGTGGATCTGACAGTCGAAATAATATTTTTTAAAAAATGTCCAGTAGCACCTTAGAGACCAACTCTCGTGTTTGCATGCATGGTAGTATCTGTGGAAGTGTGCATGCACGCGAAAGCTTATACCCAAAACAAACTTAGTTGGTCTCTAAGGTGCTACTGGACAATTTCATATTTTTTTTATTTATTAGAATTGCATTGGTTAGAATTACTGAGCTTACTTTGGAGAATTTAGCAGTACCAATTAAAACCATTTATTGACACGGCTTGCTTCAAAAAGACAGGAGTGGTCACACTGTGATCACAGCTATGTTTTTTTATTCATAAAATAATTTGATTTTTAAAATAATGGTTTCGTGGCTTGAAGCACAAGCACAGAATTTTAAGCATAAAAGGGGCTAATAGCACATTAAACAGACCATCTTCTCCACATGCCCTGGACTTTATTGTGGAAAAAGGGGAATGAGAATGTTGGAGAAAGAGAGGCAGAGTTGATTTATACAGTAGGAGGATCCTAAGCCTTCATGATCCAGCCTACTTAGAAGGAGACCGGGGAGAACAAAGAAGAAAGATTCACATGTAAAATACTGGCTTTCCTGATCTCTTTCCCAAGAGACAGCAAAAATAAGGAAGTTGGAAAAGAAGTCATACAGTTAAGACTCTAATGTTTACCTGCCTTGTGGGGGGGGGCCAAAGAACTGGATTTCCACTATAACCTTGAGGTGCACCAAACCTAAGGCCAGAGTCCATGTCTGAGAGGCTGGACATAGCATCATTACACAATAAAAGCTCAGGCTAATGGAATTTTCCTAGGTCCACTTCAGTCGTATCAACCAAGTGTAATCCCACAAGGCTAAAAGCACAGACACATGGTTACACCAGAGCAAGATATGCCGGCTGGCATCCATTGCCTTTGCAAGGGAATCATTTTTTTAATTAACTATAAATCCCATGGAGTCCAAGCAACCTAAAAAAGTTCCAGTGTTGGTACTCTCAAAATCTCTTGTTGGCACTTCCACAAGATGGAATCTCATACACAGAATTTTTTTTAAAAGGCAATTTGGACAGGAATATGATACAAGCAGAGAGAATATAAAACCAAGAATGGTACTTCAAGCACCTATCTCTCTAGAACTAAGAAAAGGTAGCCAAATGACATGCTCAGAACATCCGTAGCAACATATTTGTTAGTTTGTTTCAGAATGCTTTGAGATCTAAATGTAAAATCAACTATTTGCATTTTATCTGCCTATCTGATTATCTCTCTTCCCATTTCCACTAGGCTTAACATGATAGAAATTCGAGTTGGACTTGCTATGCAACACAATTTTCACCAAAATTTCCTCTTAAAATACTTACTTAGGCTTTTTTCTTTGTGACTTCACCTGTACTCTTGTGAAGCACACTCAGTAACCTCCTAATAGTGGCAGGCTCGCTTACAGTTTGAAAATGTAAAAGCACCTGAAACAAGAGTTTGTTTTAATTGACAACCGTCTTAAAACTATTTTCAGCAGATGACAGAACGTGAACAAGACCGAAACGCTTCTATAAATGCATTTTGCAAGCTACAAGAAGAAAGATTTTGCACAAATAGCTGGGAAAGGTTCAGAAAAGGATAACCAGAATACTCAGGGGGTTGGAGCAACTGACCTCTAAGAGGAAGGGTTACAATATTTGAGGTTTTTTTAGTTTAGAGAAAAGGCAAGTAAGGGAGAGGGACAAGATAGAGACATATAAAACTATGTATGCATGGTGCGAAGAAGGTGGATAGGGAAAAGTTTTTCTCCCTCATCAAATTATCCAATGAAGACGAATGTTGGACGATTCAGGACAGAAGGAAGTACCTTGTCACACAGCACGCAGTTAAACTATGGAATTTGCTCCCACAAGAGATAGTGATTGCCACCAACTTAGATGGCTTTACAAGGCAATCAATGGCTACTAACTATGACAGCTAGGTTCTACCCCCATTGCTGGAGGTAGTATGCCTCTGAATAATTATTGCTGGGAATTACAGGTGTGGGAGAGTGTTCAGGCTCTGCATGTGGGCTTCCTATGGCCACCTGATTCTGCACTGTGAGAACAGAGCACAGTATGAAACAAAGCAGTTCCATTTGCTAAATGATCTCCTTGTAAAAACACAACTTGCCTTTCTTCTCTTCTTCCCGTGGGTCGCTGCCCTCCCCAAATCTACTCCGGAGCATTGAAAGATCCCCCAGAATACATTTAGGGGGTGCATGGGGTGAGTGAAGGGGAGTTCTGTTGCAGTCAGAAATCCTTGCATGAATGTAATTACTTTTTTGGCTACCACCCAGAGCTCTGGACTAGATGGATATTTGACTTGATCCAAGAGGCTTTTCTTATGAACTCCTTACAAAGTTAACCAAAACTGTCTCTTGATTTAATTGTGCAGTCCACATGAGGCCATCTTTCTGTCTCTCAGTCTCAAGTAGTGCTTTTGCCTACTATCTTAAACCATGATTTTGAACCTTCAAAATATCACTGTAATGAATACAGCCAATCTTCTCCAAGAGCAGCATTTCAAGATGTATTCTCTGCTTTAGGATGTGTGCAGCAAAGCAGGGACACATCACTGTGCAGTACATACAGAATGAATCTGATTAAAAGGCAGGCACATGCATGACTGATAAAATGCTAAAACACAGAATGGAAGGTCTTCAGAAAACAAAGACAGTGCCACACTTACAGGGAATCCTTTGGTGATAGGAACTTCAATATTGAAGATGAGGATCCGAGCTCTGAAACGTGTGCAAGCTTTAATAGGTTCCTTGGGGCAACAAAATATGCACGCAACACTGCAAGAGAGATTGTGAAGAAACAAATCAGGCTAAGTGGATCCGGGTTTTAAATGTGGTAACACCAAGAGGCATGCTTAGATGACAAACTAACATGGAGACTGCATCAATTCCCACTGTCATCCTTTGGCCTATACCAGGCTGATGCCTTCCCACAGTGGCCAATCCTATTTGTGTATCCAGACTGTGCCAGGGTGAGGTTTGCCCTCAGCTAGGCTGGATAGGATTGGCAGCAGCAGTGCTACCAACAGGTACTCTAGAAGTAATGCATTTATTCCTGTTTGGGGATTGCTAGCTCTTCTAAAGTGCACACGCATTCTGTTAGGCAGGAGGAGGTATGGAAGTGGTTATTTTATGTATGCTTGGGTAGCACATTGCTTTCTACCATATCGTCCCAAATGCTCTACAAAATTCCACAGACATAAAACAAAGCAGAGAGTAGAAGTTTGCTATGGGTTCTCCAAGTAATTTTTAGTGTGATGTGCGGAGGAAGGTGGTGCTATTTGTTCACAACATTATAAGTTGGGCAGAATTATGGATTACTGAGAGAGCTTTCAGCAGCAGTCTTCTTAACTCCTTTCCCCTCTCTCTAGCTACTTAGTCCATCATGACTAATACGAACAGTGATCACCATGTCAAGATCACTAAATCTCTTTATTTTCTCATCTCCATCTTTTAAGTCAAATAATATAGATTCAGTCATTCATTCCACTAACTGGTAACAAGTACAGAGAATCTCTGAGGGTGCAATCCTAACCCCATTTATCTGGGAGTAAGACCCACTGAAATCAAAAGGGTTTCCTCCTGTGCAAATATGGTTAGGATCATGCTATTAAATATTGTTAATAATCAAGTGACCCATTCTCCTGCTTCTCTCCTTCACACATACCCAGCACCACTAAACTGAATTAACCAGTTAAGATTCCCTTAGTATGTCAACTCCAGTACTGCTCTACATAATAAACTCCAATGGTGCTTGTTTTTATGGGGACTAGTACCTTAATGTAGAATGCCACTTTTAGCTCTTGTTTCCGCCCCCCGCCCCTCGACACACACACACACACACACACATATTTATTTGGAAGAAGACAAGAGCTAACTCTTCCTTGGTCATCATAGTCTCTTTGATACTTTCTGCCGAATTTAACCCCTTTCTGCTTCTTTTTTTGAGCCCCATTTTCTTTTGCCACCCTTTTACTGGTCTATCTCAGTCAAACAGCAGTCACATTGTACTGTTTCTCTTCCTTACAGTACCAAGTGTACTAGTAGTGTTAAAATACCGGTAACTGTTGTTCAGTAGCAATAAAGTTTTTTTAAAAAATAATAATAAAACCCAACATTGTACGCAATCTATTTGAGCACTCTTTTGCCTCCCAAAACTCCAGATGAATATACCAACAAATCGTTATGCCTAGCCCTTATTAATTTTTTTAACCCAACAATTGCCTGTCTGTGATCAAGACAGTGCACTGCCAGTTTCACATCGTCACTTGCATGCAGGCTAGGTGATTTGCAGTTCTCTTGCTATCCAGGTAGCAAGCCTCCCACACCCTCCCTCCCCAACCGGTAAACCACTGATTATCAACTGCAACGGTTAGAAAGCTTCATGTTAAATATAAACCGTTGCTTAGGCAAAGTCTTTTCTGTACTCACTTGATTTTGATGATATCCATGCCAGTCAAAGTGAGAATAACGTGATCTCCTGCTGCAGCCCAATCCACTGGTTCATCATGTAGGGCAATTCCTAGAAATGAGTAAAACCAGAACTAAACAGTGAACTACCTTGGTTTAACTGCTACAAACAGCTCTGTTTTTGCCAGTTCTGCTGCATCAACCACGACTCATCAGTTTTCAGTATGAATGAGGTGATAGTAAAAGCTGTTGACTAAAACCTCAGACAGCTTTTCTTCTCGGGAACTACCATCATCTAAAGTCACCTTGCCTTACGGAGTGAGTTTTCTGCAAGTCAGTGTTGAGATATAAGCCTGTCACACTGCACAGGTGTCACAATTTTGAAAGTATGACTGCACAAGAATTTAAGAAGGAATTTATTATTTACGGTACAAGCACCCTGTCCGCAAACTTTTAAATATCTCGGTCGTACCTGCTTTCATTTTTCACCAAATGAGTTTTTGTTTGCTTTCGACGTAATGGTGAAACAAATGGGTGTGCTATGAAGCATACTAAACTCTGTACTAAATCATATGTATGAGTTACTGAAGAATTCCTGCACTTATATGCTAATGGCTAAATGCACGAACATCTAGAGCTTTGAAGCATTCATATGGTTGCTGGAAACCGTAACTGGAAAAAGGAGGCAATTCTGGAAAAAGTATTCTGGAAATGCTGTATTTAATTTGAAAGTACTAAACTTTCAGAAAAAGCACTATACTGTCATATTAATTTAATGCTTGATTTTACAAAGTTATTGCCTCATATTTGGGATATACATAAAGCAAACCCAAACCAATAATAATAATAATAATAATAATGTCTTGTCCATTAAAACAGTATACAGTGGTGCCTCGCAAGACGAAATTAATCCGTTCCGCGAGTCTCTTCGTCTTGCGGTTTTTTTCGTCTAATAGCGGCTTAGCGGCTATTAGCGGCTTAGCGGCTATTAACGGCTTAGTGGCTTTAAGAAAAAGGAAACAAACTCGCAAGAACTCGCAAGATGTTTCGTCTTGCGAAGCAAGCCCATAGGGAAATTCGTCTTGCGGAACAACTCAAAAAACGGAAAACCCTTTTGTCTAGCGAGTTTTTCGTCTTGTGAGGCATTCGTCTTGCGGGGCACCACTGTAATTGTTCAGTTTAATCCACAATAAAAATATTCTGCAAGTTGTGAAAACCAATAAAGTATAAGCTTGGAATGCAGTCCAGCTATACACACATACACACTGACTCAGCTAATTCTAATGGAAATTAATATTGCTTTGGAATGTGACTTCTGTAAAGAATATTTTAAGTAGCCATCCTATATAAAAAATAATGTTAAATGAAATAAACTGAATCCTGACTACTAGGATTATTTTCTCACAATTGTTGCAGTATTACAGTCTGAAAAAGGCTGCTTAGAGAAATCTCTATATCACTTTCTCTCCCTCCCTGTCTATGGCATTCTTACTATGCCAGCTATTAGTGGAAAGTTCAACAGTAACATGACAGCAGCTATATTATTGTTTCATTCTAATAACTGAAATAATGCAAATTATTTAAGTACTTCCATACAACCTTTCAACCTAAGGAAATTTTAAACTTTAAAAATGTGTATATAAACACACAACCTGCAATAAAAATTACAAAATATCCAGTAACAATATCTTACTAATAAAATCAAATAGCAGCAATTAAAACAGCTGCAAGGAGTGAGCATAAAACTGGGTCGGATAAAACAACCAAGAAGAGCATAAAGACTCCAGCCAAATGAAAAGCTTGATGAAGGGGTGGGGAGGGGAATCACCACCTTACATTCAATAGAGGGAAAGCGAATCAAACATATCTAGATAGGGAATTGCACAACTGGGTGTTGCAACTGGGTGCCTTCCATTGCCGCCAGCCACATTCAATCAGAAGGCAGCAGGATGTGGGGCAATACCTCTAAAATGATGACAATAGTGAACAGGTTTTTGTAGAAGCATGTCATTCAATATCTTGGCTCTAACCACCCACCCACCCAAAGTGGAAGCCAGTGAAGATGGGGGGGGCGGAGCAAATATGCTTCAATAAATGTAAGAGTGGTGCAGTAATCCAATACTGATGTCACCACGGCAGTAGTTAACCCTTTCTGCTTTATCCAGGAATGCGTGCAGCTGCTGCAAAAGTGCTCTTGGACACAGCTGCTCTCTGGACCTCCAGGAGCAACATTCACAGTTCAGCAGGAGGAATCACCCAATTTTCTTTGAGGTTTTCACATACGACAGTGTAGATTAACGCATTCTAAAGCTGCCTGCAGGGTAACCCAAAGGGAGACCATACGTCAGCCTGCATACTATACCTTTTACAGTGCAAGTTTCATTCGGAGGCATCGCTAGCAGCCGATCTCCAACTTGAACATATCCTGCTTCAATTTTACCAGTCACACAAAATCCCGATCCTTGATCTGCAACAAAAACGTTGGTTGGAGACAGCAAAAGTATCATGCAACTTCTCTGAAGGTTGCACCACCAGAGATGCAATTTTTGATAAGAGAAAAATAGTTGCACAATTGATTTTACATTGTAATGCAAAGCGAGTCTTTGATTTTATGAGTAAAACAAATCTCAAACATTGCAATAAGAAAACAATAAACATCCAACCAGTAAGTTTTCTATTTGAAAAATGTACTCAAATATTTTATGTTCCGTTGGGCTACCTATCGTGCTTCAGTGGTTTAAAAGCTATTTTCTCACCAAACCTACAAATATGTGACTGGCTGGAGATGTTAAAACAGAGGGATTATGTTGGCACTATGGTTGCCATTCCAGCACCAAGAACTGTACTCTTCTGCAAGCACAGTTCTCAGTTCAGTCGGGGATTCATAGTGGATGCAGTGTCTTCTTATTTCCTATGGTAGCCCTGACTGTCAGCTTCTTCCCTCTTTGCCTCAGCTTTGCCCTTGGCAGAATGAGTAGGGAGGAGGGCGGGGAGAAAACTAGAATTAGTTGGCTCCGCCTGCCATTGGCTCCAGCTCCTCCTACTACGGCCCACTTTGCTTTCCAGCCTACCAGTCCCAATGGGCAACAGCTGCCACTGCATACACAGAATCTTTCTTCAATGTGTGCCTAACCATTATTGGAGAACCAGGGTGGAAATTCTTTCAGGACACTTTTGTTCTGCCCTCTCTATGATGAAAGTATCGGGGAAGGGGAGTGGGAGAAGCATCCTAGATTCAAAAACCATTATAGGTGCCAACGTTCCCATGTGCCGACACATCTGCTGAACTCAGCAGGTGTTTTTTTTATTTTCACTTAACAAAATGTATAGAGCAACATGTATAGTAGCAAAGAAAAATCTAAGCCATTTACATTAAAAGTTTAAAGTACTTATTTTAAAAACGCAGAAAAAAATCAACAACATTTAAAAACAAGTGCATTGAAAATACAGATAAGAACAAAGGAACTTAATAAAAGTTACAAAAAGTCTGGCCAATTCTCCAAATTTAAGAACTGCAGTGATAGAATAAACATTTATAATTGTGGATACTGTGTATTGCACTACTGCAACAAGCTATGCAATGACCCAGCTACACCAGTACATGCATTTCAGTCAGTAATGAAAAGCAGGATATTACCTATTCTAAGTAGCATTTCTAGATTAGTTTTTTTAAATAAATATTTTTAGGAAATTTGTTCACCAGTGAAGGGAAATTGTATGACAAAAATGTTATTTTTTTAATACTGGAAGAAAACTTACTAACCTTTAAAAACATCCGATACACATAATCTGAATGGTTTCTCCACAGATCTCTGAGGTGGCTTGAAAGAATCTGTAAATAAACCAATGTGCTCTGTGAATAGCTATGTCCTTTACTTTCTTACAGCAAGCGATATTAATTTGTCTCTACTGCATTCCCCCAGCCGTGTACTGAAACTGTTCTAAAAATCTTACAGAAGTAAACACATACCTATTTGTTCTAACAAGCATTTTCCTTCATACCATTTGGTCAGCTCACTCGCTTGACTTCTTGTGACAAGATTTTCACCACCAAGCCCACTTGTAGGTATATAAGCTACGTCCGACTCCTGGTTGAGAGAAGTGTTTAATTTGCAGCGTGAAATTGGAAAGCAACTTTTCCAGCATTATAAGTAGTATTTCTAAGCTTCTGAAACTCAAACTAAGATTCTTCTTGTGGAAGATAGAAAGCTAATGCTACTTAATCAGTTACTGAAGTTAATTAATAAGTCCTGCACTTCACAGAATATTGAAGGAGAAAGTAACACCTATAGCAATCTGATCCTTTCATGACATCACTGTATAGAACATCTCTCTCATACACATCCCCACACACCTTGAACTGACCAATGACAATTCCCTTCACACCTCACAAAAGGCAGGGCTCAATAAATCTATTGGTCTTCTTGACAGTGACAAAGGGCCTCTCCCTCACCTTGCAAGCCTTGCTATAAAGCTTGGCTTGGCTTAAACACTCTCTCCATCCCCTGCTCACCACGGAGGAAAGGCAAGGTGCTCTCTTTCATAAGCTGGGCTTCCACAAAAAGCATCAGCACTGCCTCACTGCTACTTCTGCAAAAACTGAGAGGGAAGGGAAAGAAACCACACCCAGGATGGGTAGTCTCTTTCCCTTCAATTTAGTTTTTTTCAGAAAGCAGCGGCAAAATGCCAGCGGTGCTTCTCTAAAAGCTCAACTCTCTGGAGAAAAAAAAATACTACTTATTTCCTCCACAGACAACATGGACAAGAGGAAAGGATGCTCTTGTTCTGTAATGTTTTCTTTTGAAGACAGCATTGAAGTTGAAGTATTGCTCTCCCAAGCAGTGGAAGTGGATATAAAACATCTGTCAGTGGAAAAGCAGAGGACTAGAATTTTAGTTTGTTAAAAAGGAATTCTTGGCAGTCGGTAGCAAATTAAAGTATCAACCCTTTGAAGAGCTGAAAACCTTTTTGCTAAATGCCAGCATAATTTTCAAGTCATAATTAGCCAGTCACCTTATTATATCCACACATTTAGAATGGGGCAATATCATTTTGTGACCTTCCCTGTACCCATAACATTGGATATAGTCATTGAAAACTTAGCCTTTTAATCAGTCACTTGAATTCTATATCATTTTCTTTACCTTAAAGCCAGCTTGCTTCAGGAACTGCCCAAGCTTACTGACAATCTCCTGAAATCTTTCCTGTTGCCAATTGACCTAAAATAAACACATAATATATCACCAAGGAAAGATAAAGTACACACACCATTCTTAACACAAGTGAAAATTATCTCTTGCCAAGAAGTAACATTAGCAGTAAGACACCCCACCGAAAAATAATTATAAAATAATAAGGTAACCCAGTAGAAAGAACACTGAGTGCTGAAAGAATCAAGAAAATCTTCATTTAAGTGTCAGCTAAGCCAATAAAACACTTTGTATGTGCACCATTTTTTCCACAGAATTTCATCAATCTAGAATTCAACAAAATATTACAGTTTCCTTGGAAAATAACCAAGCTCCATTTGTAACAACTTGTGTGTTCTATTCTTGCAGAAAATAAATTTTAAGAAAGTCAAGGGAAAATACCTGGTCCATTTTATTGACAGCAACTGCCAGCTGTGTGACTCCAAGAGATCGAACCAACAGTCCATGTTCTCGTGTTTGCCCACCAGTCTCAAATCCTGCTTCAAACTCCCCTCTGCTGGCATCCACCACTAATATAGCCACATCAGCCTAAGGAAGAATAATTGTTACACAGTATTTCTTGGCATTTATTAACCATACACAGCCGAGCCCAACCATATCCATAATTTCTTCACAAATATGCTTCCTTTCCCCCTTTATGATAAAATGCATGCATATCTGAGTCACTCCAAAAATGTAAAGCCCCAATGGCGCCCATTGTATTGCTACAGTAAGAACTACAAAGCTAAGATTTGCTATGCTCTTGCACAAACAGTGGAAAATGTATGGATCTATTATATCTTTGGGAAAGCTAGTGTTTGTTTGCTTTGCATTTGGACAATGCTTATGATATAATAAAATTTTACACAATGGTTCCTGAGATCAAAAAGCAGGTTTGTGTCTATGTTTGAAGACAGCTGGGTGCCATTTTGAATCAAGGTGGCATACTGAACATTTCAAAACTGCACAGACAGATTTTAACCACTGATTTTAACCACTAAACACTGCCAGTGAATGAACTGTTACAAAACTCAATTCAATGTGTTATCACTTCTTTTTATAGACAGGTGATGCCAATAAAAAGTCTTTACCATTGCAGCTCCTGTGATCATATTTGGAATGAAGTCTTTATGGCCAGGAGCATCCATCAATGTAATAACTTTTGTCTTTGTCTCAAATTTGGTCATACCTACATCCATTGTCACTCCCCTAAAAATAAAGCACAGGCATGAAGTGTGTCACTTACAATCCTTTCCAAAGTTTACCTTGTATAAATAAATGAGTGCTAAAAATAAACCACCTTCTTTGGGATAAGCACAAAAGAGTCTAATGTGATTAGTGCCATTCTATGATAAAGTCACCCACAAAATAATTTTTTTAATCATGGTTACAAGAAAAAGCTATCACCAAGTTGATACAGCTAGCAATGTACGAGCTTGTGTCAATGTACGAGCTTGCAATATCAGAGGAAGCTATGAAATGAGAATGTGCTTACATGCCAGAGCACATCCAAGAATGGCCACCACACCAAAGAAGAGCAGTCTCATGCCTACTTCATCATGGAAACTAGTCATGCAATTCAGCACTAATTCTGTACATAAGCAAGGGCAACAAACAAAACCCAGTATCAATAGCCTTAGAGAAGGATATTTGCAAACTGTATGGAGCATCCTGAGGTTCCCTGGAAGCTGATCATGGGTTGCTTAGTTAGAGTGTACTAACCACCACTCCCATGCAGTTACTACATCACAACCAATTACATCACATCCAACTATGCACTTTTAAAGGAGAATTTGGGGTATGTTCTTTTCTCAGCTAAAAAGCCACAAATATGTGGCTGTTTCCTCAAGAAGTGTGGCTCCAATTCCTAAATTATTTCGATTGCCTTTTTTCTGAACCTCTTCTGACGCTATATTATTTACCAGGTGAACCATCTAGGACTAAACACAGTGTTCTAAGTGAGGTCACAGGAGATTCCTCTACAGGCAAGTCATTGCAGAAAAGATTCCTTTCATGCAGAAAGTTTGAATACAACAGCTTCTTTCCTCAATTCACAAGAAGGGAGAACAATTCTATCAGCATAGCATTTATTCCACTAATTTAATCGTATCTTATTCATGCTAACAGTAAACATCAATGTGCACTATTAAAAGTGCATTACAAATAATACTTCATACACACACACACACACACGCGCGCGCACACACACACACACACACACACATTGTATATTGCTCACCTCTCTCTCTCTTCCCCTGTCTCATCCAAGACCCATGCATAAGCAAATGATGCCTTTCCAGCTTTCTTTGATTCTTGCTCATATTTGTGCATAGTTCGTTTGTTCACATTGCCCAGAAGATACAGCAAATGACCCATGAGGGTACTTTTTCCTGCATCAACATGTCCTAAGAATAGGAAATACATGTGGGATTATCTCTGATGGATACATGTTAAAAGCCACTTGAGGGAAGAATTGTTTATGTGTATTCAGATAATTTTCACTCCAAAAAAATATTACCTATTACCACAAGGTTAAGTAGATGTTTTCCTCCTTGTCTCTTCTCCAGCTCAGCTTTCACATCTATTTGCTGTTTTGCTTTTCCGGACTTTTTCACTGAAGTTGGTGTCAAGGTTGGTTCTTCTGATACTTGAACAGTCTGGGGTGGAAAAGCTGGTTTAGGAAGAATCTCAGTAACCCCCACGTTGGCATCTCCAGCTGAGAGTCCCTTTTGTGGCATATGCCCATTCTCTTCAGCATTCACACTGGAAAAAGCAAAGAATGAACTTTAAGAGAAGAAGAGTTTCACAACTATACAGAACAAATGAAATTCATTCTTACACGTTCATCAAAACTGCAAAATAAAGGAACAGAGGCAAGCTACCAAACAGTCACAGACAGTGGGTAAATACAGACAATCATTTACTGAACAGTGACTTACTACAGTGTGAATGTCAAGCAGTTGGCAGGGCAGAGCAGAATCAGTACAGAAGGGACTCATAGCACTCTTCTTCCCTGGAGTTATGAGTAGGCACAAAATTTTGGCAAGGTGCCCTTCCACAGCCCACCAAATTGTCCTACTCATTCTGTGCTAAGTTCTCACTTGGCAAATGGTCATCTGCACTTACCTGCTGAATGGCTTGCTTGAAATGCTGGCTTTACAAAAAATAAATGGCATTCCAACTGTTGTTTGGTAGCGTACCTCAACTCACAGAAGGCTCTTTGATCCAGCTGAGACTTCTGCTAGCAGAACAGGGAAGGGGGCAATTTTTGCCAATTCTCCCTCTGTCTGCAACGCTCCCCCCCCCCCAAAAAAAAAAAACTGTTCTAGAATGGCGGGGAATCCTTCAGAAGAACATGGGAGGTGGTGTGCAGAAAAAAAGGGAAATTGGCAAAAGTCATCTCCCTCTCCACTGCACAGATAGAAGCCTCTGCTGAAATAGAACTATAAGTAGAGAGACACCACATGACATAAACCTCCATGTAAGCAGTATTGCTGTGAAGGGGCTGTTTCTGCAAGAATTTAGTGGTCCTGCTGCACACAAGGAACTCTCCACACAGATCTTTGGATCAGGACCATGGTCTGCCAAGAGTAATTCTGAAATGCATACTTTACTCAATTACTCTCAAGAAGACATTGCTGCTACATATGCTTGAAGGCCTACCAAGAGGGGATTTGGAACTGTGTTTGTGATTCTGAGTAAGTCTGTGTATACATACACACAGAGAATCTCCAGCAAAAGTGTCAGGTATATATGCACAAGTATGTGGAGGTATAGCAGAACATAAAGAAAATTAATAATAGTGAAAGTAGTTTAAGGTGGACCACCTGTTGTACTGTTGCTCAAGAGCACGTCATTTACGTTTGGTTCTTAAGCAAGAGTACACAGTCAGGATTACTTAACACAGGTTTGAGCCATAGCTATGAAGAGATGCTGAACATACACGCTTGCTTTATAAATTTAGAATGTAAACTATGAAGACTGCAGCAAGATGCTGACCATGCAAGATTGAAGTTGCTCCATTTGTTTTAACGTAGATGTTTGATCACAATATGTGGTCATATCCATTGCCCTAAATACAAGTATATGTATGTTGCATTCAGACTATCTGTTACTTCCACTTTACTGATTTTTTTTTCAGAATTCCCCCTCTTAAAACCTTCAGGCATAGGTCAATTGAAATGTCTGATTGAGAATAATTGAGTAAAGAACACATTTCAGAATTACTCTTAGCAGACCATGGCCCTGATCCAAGGGCCTGTGTAAAGAGCTCCATGTTTGCAGCAACGCCACTGGATTTTTGCAGAAGCAGCCCCATGCATTCTATTACTTGCAATGCTATTTATACATGAAGAGTTATATCTGCTTGTAGGCAGCTCTTTAATCTAGCAGAGGCTTCTATCAGTGAACCAGTCCATTGTCAGAATGGCTGTCACAGGTCTACAGATGGACACCATAAAACCTCTCCTTTCCCCCTCTTTCAATCATTATACTTCAAATAACTGAGCTTGCAACAATTCAGTTTGCAAAGTTGTATTTTAAACTAACCTCCAGAAAATTTTGCACCCTGTGAAACAGATTATTTTAATGTGGCTAGCTGTTTTCTCTGTGCTACTCAGAGTGAAAGATTCTTTTTCAAAAAAACTCACGAATGCAAGATGCCTTTTTCTGAAAGTAATTATGAGTCAAACAAGAAGCCATGCTGCTCAGTTTTGTGACATATTGACTAAATTTCTGTAAAAATAGACCCCAAAAAATCTTGATACAGGTGCACCAATCTGAAGGAAGATGATGCCAGTGTACCTTGCAAGGGGTGAAGGCTTACCATGGAACTTCAAAGCCGGTAGTTTGTCTCTTTCCAGACACAGTCATTTTGGTAACTTTTGGCACGACATCAGATTCAATTCTGCTTGTCTGGGAATCTCTGACTTTTCCTAGTAGGAGAGAAAATAATGCATATAAAGCATAAGTACAGTGCAAACAGGCTTAAACTTCAGTGTAGTCCAATGTGTTATCTTGGCAGATTTATCAACTGATAACTTTTAGCTTTCTAAAAATCAGGTTTGCTAAAAATAAAAATTTGTATAGTTGCATCCAAGTAAAAGGGGATGCAGGTGGCGCTGTGGGTAAAAGCCTCAGCGCGTAGGGCTTGCCGATCGAAAGGTCGGCGGTTCAAATCCCCGCAGCGGGGTGCGCTCCCGTTGTTCGGTCCCAGCGCCTGCCAACCTAGCAGTTCGAAAGCACCCCCGGGTGCAAGTAGATAAATAGGGACCGCTTACTGGCGGGAAGGTAAACGGCGTTCCGTGTGCGGCTCTGGCTCGCCAGAGCAGCGATGTCACGCTGGCCACGTGACCCGGAAGTGTCTCCGGACAGCGCTGGCCCCCGGCCTCTTGAGTGAGATGGGCGCACAACCCTAGAGTCTGTCAAGACTGGCCCGTACGGGCAGGGGTACCTTTACCTTTTTATCCAAGTAAAAAGCTGCTTTTTGTAGCAATGTACACTATACATGTGAACATTCAGAGCAGCTTATTAAAAAATTTAGCCATCCTGAGCTTTTGAAAGTGGAAGAAAAGGAAACCTAAAATTAACAAATAAAATATTTATTCTGTATCTAAGCCTTCTATCTCAAAAGGTGTGCCAAAAACTTGTAGCCAATGCTCATCGTATTTGGCATCCTAATAATGGAAGTTTTCTTATGTAATGGCTGGATGTTTTTGAAACTCCCCTAACTTCAAATAGGTGAGGTTCTCATTTTTTAACCTTCTGTTGATGCTGTATTTGAGATAATATCCTTTTTAACATTTTCCTCCCCACTCTGAAAGACTTTGTTGTTTATCAAAAGCTAAATGTAAAGCACATATAGTTCTATTTGTCTGAATGTACTTATAATAGTTTCTCCCTGTATGTGTTCCCAAATAATGAGGTCCATCTTTCCAGACATTTGTTTCTTTTTGCAAACTTCTGAGTCTGTGTGTTTCTGCTGCAGTATTCTAGGTGTTTTTATTCCACTGTGGCTGATGTGGCCTTTTAAATGTGTCTTGCTTTTTCTTATTATGTTATTTTGTGGTTTTATATGCATTTTATGGTTTTATATTGTAAACCACCCTGTAATCTTCAGATGAAGGGTGGTGTATAATTTAATTCAAGCCAGATATTGACAGGGAAGGGAATGACATTTTCCTAAAGGATAGGGTGAGACAGCAGTTCACAGCTTGGCGCCACAACCAAGTGATTGCCTAATTTTATGCCATTTCAACTTTTGCAATTATCCAGTCCTTAAAAGAAATACACACATGCACAAACAAAATCTTTCAAATCCTCAGTACTGAAACATTTATTTATTTATTTTTAAAGTATGGTTGACTAGGGACACGGGTGGCGCTGTGGGTTAAACCACAGAGCCTAGAACTTGCCGATCTTTAGGTTGGTGGTTCGAATCCCCGCAATGAGGTGAGCTCCCGTTGCTCGGTCCCTGCTCCTGCCAACCTAGCAGTTCGAAAGCATGTCAAAGTGCAAGTAGATAAATAGGTACCGCTCCGGTGAGAAGGTAAACGGCGTTTCCGTGTGCTGCTCTGGTTCGCCAGAAGCGGTTTAGCCATGCTGGCCACATGACCCGGAAGCTGTATGCCGGCTCCCTTGGCCAATAAAACGAGATGAGGCCGCAACCCCAGAGTCGGCCACGACTGGACCTAATGGTCAGGGGCCCCTTTACCTTACTATGTTTGACTAATTTGCATAATTTATTCAACTTATAGAATGTAGATTTCTTTGGTTCAGAATTTATTTAATTGTCCCAGGGCACAAATAGCCTTCACAGTATTCAGTAATCTCTCCCTCTCACCCACACTCCAGTGTGCTGTACTTGGTTCTACTTTGTTAAAGCTGTGGGCTGCACTAATGGTACATTTCAAAACTAGTGAGTTTAACATGTTAACAGAATGTACTGAGCAGAGGAAGTCTTTCATCCTGCCCGTCTAACGCTGCCCTAGATTCCCTTGCCTACTGATGAACTGGGGTCATCACCTAAGTGTGTGACTACGTATGGCCTCGCTCTACTTCGAGACGTTCAGCAACTTGCAAGCTGTTTTTGAATAATTCCCCAAGAAAGAAGAATGAGTTATTTAGAAAAAGGTTATTTCCTAAATAGAAGTTACACCAGGGGGTTTCCAAGTAAAAGCCCTGTTGCTTTCAGCTGTGACTTCTTTATAAAGCTTGTGAGCCTGTACGCACACGGTAATTTCTTGTTCAAGTAAGATGTTCAGGGCCCCCAAGTAGACACACTCATGTACGGTGTGTGCGGCAAAGAGCCAGGCAGGCACACTTTCAGACTGGTAGCAATTTCCATAACTGCAGCAACCACAATAACTAAGAGCCACCTGGATCTCACAGTGCATTTGTCATGCAAGCAGAGCCTTAAGATAGTCTGCAAAGACACACAAAATGCTCTGAGTTTAGAAGGAAAAAAACTTTGAAAATACTACATACAGATATCTAAATTACTCCCCCTGCACCCAATCAAGTCCTTAAGAATATAGGAGTCATCTGGAGCACGCCAAATGCCCATAAAGTCCAGCATTCTGCTCTTACTGCGGCCAGCTATCTATGGGAAGCTCACAACCAGGGCCTGAGGTAACCTAGAGAGGATAGCCCAATCCAATTCTGTGAAACGTGCATAGATAACATGCATCCTCTTCCTGATATAATCCAGTGGGCTATCCCAAAGTAATTCCCATCAATGTCTTGTCCATAAATGTGTCACATAATGATAAAACATTGCCTACCACCTACTGAAAACAGAGAGCAAGATTCCAACTTATTGTGCTATTGTTATGTATGGAATCGTCGTTGTTGTGCAAGAAGTGGTGCGTAAAGAGCAACTGTCGCAGAGTATGATAAAAGTGGTTGTGCGCCAACTTTCACAAGTACAAGACAAGCCCTGGATTCAGCTCTAAACTAAGAACAAGGTTCCGTTAGCAGAATGGCTTGTGAGAGCAGGGTGCCACAACTGGTTATCACCCAAACTGACTACATGCTCAGACGAAAACAGAGTTTTTTAACTGATTAGTGCACATTTGACACACATGATGTGCATTTACACCATGCAATAGAATCAATAGAGTTCAGTATGAAAATAATGTCACTCTGCTTGCAAGAAAAACACCCAAAATCAGATATTGCTGTGTGCAGCTTAAACTTGTTCATGGGATTTTGCTTCGTTTTACAACTGCATTGCTCTAGTTACATGTGAACCACCAAATAAGTATTGTTCAACAGGGTGAAACAAGCTACCTGGCCAAACTGACAGAAGATTTAGAGAAAAGAAAATGCATAGGAGCATAGCAAACAAATGAAACATGACTAGCAGCCCAAGATAAATGAGAGTCCAAGCTGTATAAGATATAAATGAAGATGTCCACAGTGCCCAAATGGTCTAATATGTTCGGTTCCATCTCAAGCAAACTGTTGCCTTCAAGCTGTGAGAACAATATTTCAGGAATCATTTGCGCAGTAAACATGCTTCCCAAAGGCGGTCTCTAAATATCTGATTCTCACATTCTGCTATAACCACAAATGTGTTTGTGGTGTTTCCTTATTCAACGTATCTTACTAAATGACTCCAATGTGTGTTTCATTGACAAGCAGGGAAAACATTGTGTGATGTTATTCGCAGTTGTCTGACCATAAATGGGCATGCAAAAAGCAGTGTCAGCACTAAATGGGGGATAGCCCTACCAACATTTCTCCACAAACCAGTTAATCTAAACTGAAAGTTTATGTAGTCCAAGGTAACGTTCAACACAATTAATAGAATTTCTGTTGAGGTTCTGGTTCGTTATGAGTATGTAAAACTGAAAGTACAACATGTAACGAGTCGATACTTTTACTGCAATTCAGTCATGTTTCCAGAAACGAAGTAGTATCAGGCAGCAAATCTGACGTTACAACACCAGAGGATGGTGCTGTTAACAGATCAGTTACCAGTGTGCTTTACAAATCAAACATAACGAAACCTTTAGGCCTAACTTATGTTCGCTGATTTCATTGTGTCCACTCTGAATATGATTTAGTCAGAGGCAATCCTAAATCTTAAACTCATGATAGCATCCACAAGAAGTCTCAAGTTTAAGCAAATGTGTCTGCAAATCTTCAGACAGGCTCATCTACACAGGAATAAAAATTACACCAGCGTGTGACCTTTCTATTATGAGGAAAGCCTTTCTTCATTCCAAAACATGTTAAATGATAAAATCAAAGTTCATACAAAAACCAGATGCCCAAAACGCACATAGGGTTGGGACTCTGGGGGTGAAACTACATATATGAAAAACAAGGTTGCCACTGAAAACAGCAGTCCCAATTGAGTTCTCTGCCTTCACATCTGTACCTCCAACTTACTGTGTCCAGATGTCATTATGATTAACATCCCCCACATCCAATAACATGGAGTGAGGGGTGTCAAAATGTTACTGCTACCCCAAAAAAGTGCACAACCCAGGCTGCTGCTTTTGGTGGAAGCCTTGTGCATCTTCCACAGAGTCTCTTGTCCAAGACAATGTTGCTCCATACACTCAGCATGTGTGCTATTAAAATATATTTCACTTTGCCCTTCTAGATGAGCTATAGTTTCAGGCATGATTCGTCATCAAGTATGTCTCATAATAAGCTCTGTGGACAGAGATCAAAGCACCCAGTCCTAAATACTATGGGGAATGACACTGTTCCTCCCACCACCTAATAAACGTACATTTCATACACTACTGTCCAATATTCTTGCTACATTATCCACAAATTAAGTATGGAAAAGAACTGCATTTTTCCAGCCCATTATAACTTTATACTTTGTAATAGTAAGTTAACTATTATAGGGACAATAAGAATTGACAACTTGAATAATTCAGCAACTTTAAAAGATTTTCAATTTTTGTGAATCTGA